CATGTGTTATTGGAATGGTATTCTAGCCCGATTCGACTTGAGTCACGTTGTAGAAGATGTCAAGACCCAGGCGAAATCAAAACTACATTGCAACTTCTTTGGGGGGTCCAATCATTATTTCATCTCCTTAAACAACTAGAAATCCTATTGAAGGGATCTAATCAGATTTCATCATGTTGTCGGGACTTTCATTCCGTATAAAAATGCATGACGACGCGACTCGTCATTTCATCTGGCTGGAAGTCGGCGGCAGATCCCAGATGTTCTTCATCTGTTTGGCTTCAATACGACCTTCATGCCTCCGTGCGAATGAAGACAACCCAACCTGTCAGGCCATTGATGCTTCTAAACACACTCACAAAAGGTATAATACCATCATCACCCAAACCAGACGTATGAGATTACGAAATTCCGGTTATACTTTCCCATGGGTCGTTAAATCCTAATGCCCCTAGACGTATTGGCGCGTGTGGTTTCGCAACCTGACCTACACATCTTACACAAGTCTACATCCCCTCAGCTCAACCAATGCTACTTATGGACTTACGACATGTGGATTAGGCATTTTCCTGGTTCGTTAATCCTTAATGACACGAGTCTGACGTTGGTCTCGGTATGTGTACAGACCTAAAGACATGTCAACAAACACACGCATAGACAGATTTATGTAAATGTACCCTTAATGATTTTAAAGAAAACTAACCAAATCATTCCATATCTATCTATCTTTATATATACATTTTAGTTTTTAGCTATATTTGTGATAAAATTGTTGGATAGAGCCAGACAATTTACATGACATAATGTTTACTTGTTCGGGAAACAGGCATTTTGTGTGAATATGCATTATTAGAGATGCTGGGATTGATCCATGAGAAATCTATTCCAGTTTAGAACGGAACGAGATGAGCTCACGTTCGACAAATGACGAACATAATTACACAGTCTTTTGTAAGCGTTTTTATCCCGAAACGATGAAGGATGTATCGTGGATTGTGTAAAACATAAACCAAAGAAATTGGGCGGCGAAATCGGGTGCGACAAATCTTGGAAAGTTTTCACTATTCAATTTGTAACAAATGAAAATTTGGCTTAAGAGATTCATCAAAACTCAGTCATTATTATTATTTAGTGCTAAATAGCTCAGATGCTGTTCGTCATATGCTGGACGAAATTTCGGTTTAGAAACCGACAAAACATCGCTTTAAAGCCGGCCAGATCAAACGAATAACTTCTTCCTTAGACACTTTTATGAGAAATGACAATGACATCTAAAAAGATTTGTTGGATCACATCTACATTCACTAAGTCAGGACTGACTTTCACCATTTCGCATTTACATTCGACATCAAAGCCGAGCCTGGCTTTTGCCCCAAAGTGAAGCGGATATTCATTGCCCAATTATGCCTGCTTCCGAGGCATTGTCCTGTTCCGGTCTTCGTTGTCCCCCAGTTGCCGTCGCCCTGGCGCCAGACCACAGATACGATGACAGTTTTGTCGGGTTGCCGATCCATTCGCCTGCCCCAGGCTGGATGGGTGAATTTGGCCCCAGGTCACTCGGTCGACATCCCCCGTGCCCACCTCCGATTGGACGTATCCCATTCACGATCCAGCGAATCTGCCCCATCTGTACCTCGGCCATCGCATCAGCCCTGCTGACAATTCGTGGCCAGCCCCTTTCCGGTTGCTGGGCAAATCTGGGGTGTCAACTACAGACTGAGGAGGAGCATCGGCCAACCGTCCCGCCGAGGAGTGAAGCAGAATGTGTGATGAAGCGACTTGTGAATCCTTTCCCATGCTTTCCACCCTCCTCCAATCACACTCAATCGTTGCACACATCCTCTCTACTGTCTCCCGGCCCCTCGGAAGCCAACGACACTGAACCATCATTTTTTGCCCACCGGGAGAAGAGACACGCGTTCTCGTTTCTGGCCCCACTTGTCCACTCAAAGAGGCGTTTCTGCACCTTGTCGATGTCGTCTTTTGTCCGGTTGTCCTTCCACTCAACCCTAAACCCGGTTACATACTCATTTCTTGGACACACACACACACACACACAAACACAAAAAACAAATACGCAAGATAGCATAAACAAATTGACACACACACACGCACACACACTCACACTCGGCTTGTACAAACCGGCATGCACAAAATGGACAAACAGTATTCTTTGGTTAGTTGGCCCGAAGCCCTGGATTAAAATCTTGCCCCCATGATTATCACTTTGGTCGACATGTCTGCAGCCCAGCAACCAACGCGAGAAACTTCACCTGTGAGGTGGGTCAACACAAAATGACGAACAACCTGCTGAACCAACTCGGCATGTCGAGCTTGTGGTGAGCAAGGTGATGGGATAGAAACAATAGGAGACAGGAGGCTGCTGTAGTTTTGGCGTATTTTCGCAATCTTTTCCAGTTGTCCACCTCAACAAACTGTCGTGGAGACTTGCTCCGTGACATGCGAGTGCATGAGAAGCGATTATTGGATGGATCTCGTCTGAAGCCAGCCGCCGATTGCTGTTGTTCCGCAGTCGGTTGGCTTGATGACAATATTTGTGGTTCACGGGCTCCACAAGAGATCTTCCGTCCTTTCGAGTGAAAACAGGCATCTTCAGAGACGGAAGTTAATCTCACTTTCACTTTAAGTCAACAACACTCAATCGGAGTACTGATAATTGAGTGTTTGTGTCTGTATGTGCGTGTATTAACGTCGGAACATGTACGAAATACCGAATATACCCATTCATCGAGTTGTGCCAAGAGTTGTTCAACTGGGTTTTGTAAGAGCTGTATTCATACTAATTTGTGTAAGAGGTGGACGGATTGGTAGTTGCATTTTACCGCGAACTTTTTTGTCCACGCGACAACCTACACAGTTTTAATGAAACTGGGCCAAGCTTACGACATCATCAGAGCTGAAAGACATTCCTGGAAAGGTATCAGATTAACCCGAGTGAGCATTCTTGAGTGTGTGCTAACTTGAGACTCTCGTAAGAATGAGTTGCATCGGTGTCTCATGCAATTTCACACAAAATGAAACTCTTCAGAATTATAAAAAGTCTGCTAGTCCTCGTATATATATATATAGCTAGATAGATAGATAGATAGATAGATAGATAGATAGATAGATAGATGGGTAGATAG